AATATTGAAAAAAGCACTCCTATATATTTCCATGAGAATTAATCGTATTTTCCAAGAAAAATGGGCAACTCAAGTTTCTAGCGAGCGCAGTGCTGAAGACTGATAAGAGAAGTGTTATTTGGCTGGAGTTGAAGTCCATAATACACACATCTAAGCACCATAAAATATTATAAGTCCGTTTAATTTATATATTTAAAACTCATTATTTTAATTTTACTACAGTATTACTCTTACAAAAAAATTTGAACAAAAAAATTTCTGCCAATGAATCTCTCATAATATTTAAATTCAAAATTAAAATCAGTAACTTAAACTTATGAACTAAACGAGCCATATATATGTGAAGCCCACTTTTTATTTGAAGATAGAGTATGTAAGGGTTTTCAAGTAGAGTCAAGGAGCATTTTTCATTTTTTAAACTTTTGTGTAATGTAAAATATGATTTTACACACTTTTCTATTATTTCTATGCACATCAGATGAACTATTTATAGTATTAATGATTACATCTCTTAAAAGTATTCACCAAATTCTATTATCATGTCACATCTTAATATTTTAAATCTCAATTAACAGGAAATATTAAATTCTTTTATGGGTGCTTAAAAAATTATCATATCAATTAATTTTTAGTTGCATCTATTAATAAAAAAATAATAACTCATTTATTTAAGTGAGTTAGAATGAAAACTTTGGATGGCTAATTTACTATACTTGAAATGATAGTTTAATGAGTTTTTTTTTTTTTTTGAAAAAAGGCGCTCATGCTAGAAGATTCAAGACCACGCCTTGGTCATACTTGTCACTAATTGCTTTTGGCGATTATAATCGCGAAGAAAAATAAAAAATGAACCAAAATAGAAAGGTAAGGATGGGGGTAAAAATGTCTTTAGAAAAAGAAATGAGGCATTTGCCCCCCTCAATCCATGAGAGGGAGTGGATGAATAGGTTTTATGTTTAGAGGTCAAAACACGTTATACACTTGTACTAGGTAAATTGTGGGCATCCCCACCGTCCAAAGAACAGTGTGGAAGCAGAGTTCTTGACTTCCCCAAGCAATAATTAATCGATTAATCAACTTCCTTCATAATGAAGACAGACGAAGGAGAGAGAGACGTTAACATCCTCTTCCTAAGTACCAGCCATTCAAGATACCATCACATCCCCCATGGTGGGCCCCCACGCTCAATCTCAGATTGTTGTTTCTCAGAAGTTACCGTTGTTGACATCGGTGACCGTTAGGGACGCTAGCGTCACCACTCATGACACTTGTCTCTATCCTATTGGTTTATTCTTTATTAATTTATTGTTGCTCTCTTAAAAATTATTTATTTATTATTGGGCATTCCGTGTAGGATATTTCAATTTCTAACTCGGTTATGGACTTGCGTCGTCGGCTCAAGCGTACCCACTAGGCATTTTGGGACTTTCCCAATTATAAGAAACGGAACTCGTTGATAATTGTTTCCACTTTATTCCAATTTGATTTTTATTTCTCACAATCTAATCCAGAACATGTGCCATACAACATGAGACAGCATTTACATTTATGGTCATAAATAAAATAAAATAAAATAAAAAGACGGCATTTATCAACCAACGCCGGCAATTAACTCGGTTCTTGGGCTTGAAAAATTCAGATGCCATGGGATTGACGTCAGCCCAAGTTGGGAAACCAATGGCCAGCTACTCAACACTTGCATTGTGTTATCTTATCTTAATCTAAATTTTTATCTCTTATTTTTTATTAATATTATTTTAATTAATATAATTATTTTCAATTATCTCTTATTTTTTATTAATATTATTTTGATTAATATAATTATTTGTTTGAAAAGAAATTAATGAGTGTAAAAAGTTAGAATCCTAGTGCATACATTATAAAGAATATTTGTCACACTTTTTCTTTAAAAAAAGAGAGAAGTAGCGTAGTTTATGAGAAAGTTAAAAGCAGAAATTTGGTGAATACCCGTTTTTCTTATGAAAATCCGATTTACGACGTCGCTAAACTATTAAAATTAATGGCAAAAATTTTGAGGAAAAGTTTTTTTTAAAAAAAACGGAGGGAAATGGGAAAAACAAATAGTTAAAAACTAAAAATGTTATTTACTACAAGCAAGTAAATCTGCCATTTAATTCCAAAGGATTTAAAAGTAAGTTATTTCCTATAACTTATGTTGAACAATTAAAGAGAAATGTTTACAAAAGAAACATAAATCTTTTTTAGTAAGAGTATAAATCTTTGAAGTATTCTCATTAGTACATCTAAATTTTAAAGTCACTCTCAATTTACCTCTTAAAATTTAAAAATTCTTACTTTACCTCATAAACTTTGAATTATTCTCATTTAACCTATTTTATTTTAATTTTCTCTAAAATCATACCAACAAAGAGAAAATTAAGTGTGGTCATGTGATTATATGTTTCTTTTTAACAGAAGGGCCATAACTTTATCATTCTCTTTTTTCTTTTTATTTTTAACAGAAATTGTAATAGAATAGATTAAGTGAGAACAATTTAAAGTTAAAAAAAAAAGTAAGAATTTTTAAAATTTATAAGATAAACTGAGAATGATTCTAAAATTTATAGAACACCAATTATTGTAATCCTAAATCTTTATACTCCATTACTTGAGAGGAAGTCCTCTAGATTTCTCATCAACATTCTGTTCATGTATGTTGAACTTGGACATATTAGTCACTGGCTCAGCCTCGGAGAGTAGGCTTTTGGCCAAGGGTGAGGCTCATTTGAGCAACTGAGCTAGTAGCTCACTTACTGCTACTTCGGGGCATTTTATTTCTTTTAGCTTGCCGTGTCGTGTGTGCTTTTAATGTTGATCTAATCAAGAAAGGAAAAAAAATGGAGAATTTAATTTTGAGAGTATATGAATCTGAATTTTTACCTTTTATTTTTAATAAATATAATTTTATTAGTGTAATTATTTAACTAAAAAAGTTATAAATTAAGAATAAATTATAAAAATTCTGACAATGCAATTTTAAGAAATATTTATTAAGATTATCTTTAGAAAAAATCCAACTTATGGTATGGAAGCAACTTAGGGAAATATTGCAATATGCAATATTGCACCGACCCCTTCTTAATTTTGTAGGCAACGTTTTTCTTCTTTTTTTTTTTTTTTTCAATTTGACAAAGATATATTTTTTAATAAAATATCTTTCATTGATATTACAATTTTCTTCGTACATTTGGTGCCCAACTTCTTTTTTTTTTTTTTTTTTTTTTTTTTCAATTTGACAAAGATATATTTTTTAATAAAATATCTTACATTGATATTACAATTTACTTCGTACATTTGGTGCCCAACTTCTTTTTTTTTTTTTTTTTTGTTGTTGCTAAAATGAGTATTTCATTCAAAGCCAAAAAGACAGCACAAGAGGAAGCGAATACAGAAATATAACAAGGCTACATATCTAACACAAAGCAACTGCAAAAGCAGGACACAAACCAAGGACCTAGGGTCCTCGACTAGACCAAACAGAGCACAAAAGAGAAATAAGACAGGAAAAAATAGTCGGAGTCCCTTCCAGAGGAACAATTTGGTCAATGGTCCCTAGCATATTTTAAGGCGGTGACAGCGGGCTTCATAATTTGCAAGGCGTCACATGTGAATTTTTATGAGAAAATTGAGGAGATGAACGAAAAGTTGTTAATTATATCTTTTTAAGAAGTTCATGGACAATTTACCAAAATTAAAAAAAGAAGGATCAAATTATCACTATTTAAATAGGTTAGAAATTATTTGTGCTAATTACTCAAAATCAAAGCATGTGTAGGGATAACCGAAACAGGGATAGCCCCAAACGCAAGACTCATTTTAGCCGGGTTACGAGCAGCAAAGTTAATATATAGATCCGTTTAATTTGTTGATTTGAGTTTTTAGTTCGAGTTAAGATGTGATTTTATGTGAGAGTTTTTTACTGTAACAAAAAAGTTAGATGTGACTGTTTTTAAGAGTTTATTACTATAACAAAACTTAAATTCTAAACTCGAATGAAAGGGACCTATTATAATGTTATTGAAGATAAATCAAAAGCTAATTCTGAGGTTGTCATAGTCAATTTTGATGTACTGTAGAGTTCAGGGGCAGTTTTCCATCGATCCCTTCAAAGGATTGATACACATTCGTAACAAGTAATAACCCACTTCTTTCTGTATTTAGAGTTTGTTGGTTTGCATGTAAATTTTTAAAAAAATTTAAATTTAAGTTACAATTTTATTTAAGTTTATGATTTTTTTTTTGTTTGTTTGTAAAATTTGAGTTTGAACTTAAGTTTGAGGTTAAAATATGAGTTCAAGTTTCCCCTTCAACTCAAGTTTCTAAACTCAAACTCAAGTTAATGAACAATATTTTTTCTATATTAAAAAATGTCATAACTTTTTCGTTTTAATTTTGATTGAGATAATTTTTTTTCTATGCGTTTACAATGAAGAGATGAATAAAACTCCACCCATATACCTTATTAAAATTTTTCATCACCATTGAGTTTTTATTAAAATATTATTCAAATACAAATTCAAGTTTTAACGCGCCTAAACACAAACTCAAATAGATTCTCAATTTAAATCATAACTCAAAATGTGCACATATAAATACAAAATCAAATTAGAGTCTCAACTCAAATCATACTCAAATATACCTTAACTCAAATTAAAATCTAAACTCAAGTCACCATAACTCAAAAACTCTAAAAGAACAAGTTCTAATATCTCAAAAATCTTGTCATCAGTATAATTGTGATTAATATTTTTCTTGCTAACCTCCATTTAGCAATGTTAAAAATTCAAGTCATTTTGTGCTGTCAGGATGCTTTTTCCTAATAGCGTGCTTAAAAAAATGGTGATCGTCCCTGTTCTTTTCGTTGATTCGAGTTTAGAATTTGAGTTTTGCTACAGTAAAAAGTTCTAAAAAACAGTCACATATAACTTTTTTATTACAGTAAAAAGTTTTCACACAACATCACATCTCAACTGAAAAAGTGAATAATTAAAGGATAACTTATTCAAACGGTTATAAGAGAGGAATACAAATTTTTACTCAAATAATAACTCGTATCTCTTCTCTTTCCTCCTCTCAAAGCAATTTTTCATCGCATTGCCTCTGTCTTTGGCTTGGCCGGAGAGGACAGTAGAAGAGTGATAGTACTCTTTAAAATTAGAATCATCACAATTCAAAGGAAGAAGGAAAAACAATAGTTGGTGGATTTTGTTCCGTTAGAGTCTGTGAGAGAACCAAAGACAAAAAATCTTGGGCTTGAAAGAGAATATTAGAGGGGGAGAAAAGATGAGTGACAATCTTCGCTTAAAATGACAATCTCCCTAATGGCATGCCTAAGAAAAAAAGTTGATTTATTTAAATGAAAATATTATCAGAAATTACATAAAAGAAATATAGTCAAAAAGTTGATTTGTTTAAATGAAAATATTGCCAGAAAAAAACTTGATTTGTTTAAATGAAAATATTGCCAGAAATTACATAAAAGAAATATAGTCAGAATGTAGGAATACATATAAACTATTTGACTTTATTATTTTTATTATTTGGGAGAAAGCACTTTTCTATTTTTACTGAAATCCAACAATCGTGCAAGTTTTATAAAGAGTTATACTCTCAAAAAGTTTAACGATTGTTAGACAATCGGAAAAAATCACAATTATATTTTCAAAAAGTTTGACGATTGCTAAAAGTTTAAGGAAATCACTAATAAGTATAATTCTGTTAAAGGAAATGAAAAAAATAGATGATAATAAACGAAAAATCTATTAAATTTTATGAAACATGTCACGTATAAGTATATTTCTCGTAAGAAAACGAATAAAAGTGCAAATGTTATGATTAAGTTGTAAATTTAACGATGAGTGAAATAATAAATTAAAAAAATATTTTTTCCACGTTAGATTTTTTTAGTTAAAAAATAAAAATAAACTCATATATTTTTAAGGGAAATAGTAGAAAATAGGTCAATATGAAAAGCTTAAGAAAGTATATAGGCTAATTTTTAGTTATAAAAATTAATATGCCATAATTTATCAAGTTATGGTAACCAGATAAGTTATGGATAAACTTGTCAAGTTATGGTTCATAGCCAGACAAGTTATGGATAAAAACCATGAATTATAGACAATAACTTGTCAAGTTATGGTTCATAATCAGACAAACTATGGACGAAAACAGTAATTTGACATATTTATTAACTTATGTAAATTATTGACCTATTAATTTTAATTCATCTCAAATTTTGACTTATTTCTCTTTTTCTCTCTATTTTTAAAGAGTATTTGTCAACTTAATGAAGTAACGAGTTCTTGTTTTGGGCTCAAAATCTTCTATTTCGAGCCCAACATCTAGTAAAAAAGCTACACATTTCATGACCATGGTCTTCTTTTCAACACTCTTCTTCCAGCCGATACTCTCCCTTCCTCCTTTCTTCAAAATTCAAAGAAAGGGACGCAATGAAAACGTAAATTAATGTAGACAGATTTCCCAATTTTCATTTTTTAATAAGGAATCGACAAAAAAATTGATAATAATAGAGAGTAGCAATATAAATACACGAATATTAGGAAAAAAAATAACAATGAAAAAAAAGGTTTAAACCAACCTAGTTCCCCAACGTCCAAATGCAACATAAAAAGCAGGCACCGGATAGCGGGGGGAACATTTTATATTTGGCTTCAAATTTCAATTAACAACAAACACAAAATATAAAATTTAATCGGAGAATAGAATAAATCAAGAAGCCAAACAAATTCTACAAAACAAAAAAAAAAAATCCAAGTGAAAGCAGTATTAGAGAAACTTTGGGCCTGTGTGTTAGCCTTTTCATTTCTCACATTTTTTAAAGTAAAAAATTGAAAACGGAGTTTAAAAACGTGTTTGGCGAAGTTTGTGTCAGAAAACAAAAACAAAAATATTTTTGTCGTTTTGCGAAATTTTAAAAACAGAAAAAATCCGTTTTCATTTTCTCGTTTTCGTTTTCCTTTTCTTTCTTCAGCCTCCCGTTCTTCTCTCTTCAGATTTTTTATGCACTTCTGAAGAACCTAATCGTCATCAAATCAAATCTCCAAGCCAAACAACTCCACCCAGATTCTCAAAACCACAACAAACCCATCTCCCTCCCAAATCTCTTATATTCTTTCTCTGTACTCAAACTTCACCAACCTCTTACGCTACTCTCTTCTTCTCTTCCAAACCCTCCACTCTCCCCCACCTCTCGCTTGGAAATCCATCATTAGATCCTACACTTCCCATGGCCTTTTCCTCCAATCCGTGGCTTCTTTCGTCTGAATGAGTGCTTTTCAAATATACCCAGATCATAATAACTTCCCATCGGTGGAAAAATCTTGTGCCATGATCAAGGACTTGGAGGTTGAGAGAATCCGTACATGGGTTAACAATTAAGTACGGAATGGACTCGGATATGAGCATGTATTAGAAATTTTGGAGCTTGGATAATGAGCACCAGTTGTTTGATGAAACGCCTCAAGAAAGGAAACGCACAAAATGGAAGTTAAAAGAGTTGTGCCGATTGATAGTGTGAGAAAAGACTTTTGATATCATAATCATGTTTATTTAATATATTTAATAATATTATTTATTTAATATATTATTATTTTAAATATTATTATATATTTTTAAAAATTAAACCAAACGCAGTTTCAGTTTTTTTTAAAACTGAAATTAATCTATGAACAAAACTACCAAACGCATTTTTAGAAATAATTCTAAAATGAAAATGAAAACGTTTTCATTTCTATTTTCATATAGAAAACAAAATCATTTTGAAACCAATTCTAAACGCACCCTTTTAGTCCCTTAGATGTTCTTAAGATCTGCGATCATATCCGCAAATCATCACAGATTTGTAGAAACTCATCACAGTTAATCAAGATTCGTTTAGTATGAGGATTTAAATCATGTTGATTCTAGTTTTCATTTTAAAACCAGAATCATGATTCATAATTTTAAATTCAAATCATGGTTCTAAAATCAGAACCAAAATCATGAGTTTGAATCACTTAAAATTAAAAGGGTAGTTTTAAAATCAAGAGTGATTCATAATTTAAAACATCACATCAAACTTCAAACCTTAAATCAGAACCATCATAACTAAACATTGATTCTAAAGTGAGTCAAATCAGAATCACTTTTTATTTTTTATAAACAAATACTAGTTTTAAACTAGAATCATGATTTTGAATTCATAACCCTTACATTAAAATTTGTTTAGTATGAGGGTTCAAATCATGATAATTCTAGTTTTAATTTTAAAACCAGAATCATGATTCATAATTTTAAATCCAAATCATGGTTCTAAAACCAGAACCAAAATCAGGAGTTTGAATCACCTAAAATTAAAAGGGTAGTTTTAAAATCAAGAGTGATTCATAATTTAAAACATCACATCAAACTTCAAACCTTAAATAAGAACTATCATAACTAAACATTGATTATAAGTGAGTCAAATCAGAATCACTTTTTTTATTTTTTATAAACAAATACTAGTTTTAAACTAGAATCATGTTTCTGAATTCATAACCCTTACATTAAGATTCGTTTAGTATGATGGTTCAAATTATGGCGATTCTAGTTTTAATTTTAAAACCAGAATCATGATTTATAATTTTAAAGCCAAATTATGGTTCTAAAATCAGAACTAAAATCAGGAGTTTGAATCACCTAAAATTAAAAAAGTAGTTTTAAAATCAATAGTGATTCATAATTTAAAACATCACATTAAACTTTAAACCTTAAATCAGAACTATCATAACTAAACATTAATTATAAGTGAGTTAAATCAGAATCACTTTTTATTTTTTATAAACAAATACTAGTTTTAAACTAGAATCATGATTCTGAATTCATAACCCTTACAGACTTCGTTTATTTCACCAATTTGAATTTTTAATTTTAATTTTACTACAATTAAAAATTCTCACAAAAAATCACATCTAACTTTTCATAAAAAATCACATCTAACTTTTTTACTACGGTAAACAATTTTCACATAAAATTAAATTTCAATTTAAACGTCAACTTCTAAATAACACCTCATTTTTTTTTCAAAAAATAAAATAAAACAAAATATAGCTGCTCGCTCCAGTTTTCTTCTCTCTTGGTGGAAAAATAGAGAAAAGAGAAAATACAGAAAAAGCAAGCAACACCTATTACTATTGCTTCAAGGGAACGAGTCGGATGGGAATTTGATGAAAATCATCCACACCGACCAGATAGTGAAGCCAATGCCAAAAAGCTCTATAAATGCTAAAAATTAAACGTCAAAAACAAACAGAAATAACATATTCAATTTAAAAAAAGAAAAAAGAAGACTCAAAAATGATTATATGGAAATGAAGAAAGCAAGGATTGGAGAGGAAAACGAATCCTAATTGCAGAGACGGTGAAGGGAGTGGCTAGGACGAATCTCGTTTTATAATTAAGACGAAAGGTGTAATGGAGGATCGAACGTTCGCGAAGAGGCCTGTTTTGTTTTCTGGGCTTGGACCTTAAAGGCCCACTCTCTAAAGGCATTCTTTTGTTTGAGAGAAAATTACGTAGTTTACCTGCAGATCACCTAAATGATAATTTCTACTTTCTAATAAAGTCTACCCCATTTAGTTTTATTTAAAAAAAACTAATTTTTAAAATTTTTTGAAATGACCTTTTTCTCCCCAAATTTTTAGGATTTGTTATCATGATTTTTCTATTTTCTCTCTCTAAAGAATTGATCTTTTTACGAAATAATGTTGAGCAAAAAGAGAGAAATCATTCTCATTCATTTACTGAATAATACTCAAGAGTACAACGTACATATATAGCAGAGGAAGATTCCTTTCCTAACAGAATTCTTTGCTTACACAAATCGATGTAACAAAATTGTACACCTCAGCAAAACAAACTTATTCTAGAATAGTCTATTCGTTGTAACAGAAATGAAGGGAAAACAAACAAATAAAAATAAACTGTAAAATAAAGATATGCTGGAAAATATTGTAAAACTCCCCCTGAAGGTGGAGAATACAGATCATGGATTCCCATCTTGCCAAGTAGAGTATGAAACTGTGTTGGCTGAAGTGCTTTGGTGAAGATATCCGCCAACTGATTCATAGTAGATACATGCATAGTCTTCACAAGTCCGGCTTGGACTTTCTCACGGATGATGTGGCAATCTATATGTTTAGTACGTTCATGATAAACGGGATTGACATCAATATGAAGAGCTGCTTGATTATCACAAAAGAGAAGTGTTGTTCCAGTGTGAGAAATGTGAAAATCCTTCAGCAGAGCAAGCAACCACAAAATTTCACAAGTAGTGTTTGCCATAGACCTATATTCGGCCTCAGCCGAAGATTTGGATACAATTTACTGTTTCTTTGATTTCTAAGATATAAGAGATGAACCAAAAAATACACAAAAACTAGAAATTGACCGTCATGTGTCGGGACATGTTGCCCAATCAGAGTCGGCAAAAGCCTTTAACTGAATAGTCGAATTGGAAGGGAAAAATAGGCCTTGACCTGGAGTTCTTTTGATGTATTGTAAAACCTGAAAAGCTGCTTGCATATGAGAAACACGAGGAGCAGCCAAGAATTGGCTTAATCTATTCACCGAATAACTCAAATCAGGTCTAGTAATGGTGAAATATAGTAACTTACCAATGAGACGTCTGTAGGTGGAAGGATCATCTACCAAATCACCATCCCCTTGTGAAAGTTTAAGATTTGGCTCCATCGGGACAGATGCTGGTTTACAACCCAAGTATCTTGTTTCAGAAAGCAATTCCAATGCATATTTCCGTTGACAAATTGAGATTCCAGCACTGGTCCTTGCAACTTCCAGGCCCAAAAAATATTTGAGAGGTCACAAATCTCTCATTTTGAATCGCTTATTAAGAACTTGTTTAAGCTCAGTCACGGCCGCATCATTGTTGCTAGTAATTATTATGTCGTCCACATAGACCAAAAGAGCCAAGCAAATGGAACCCTGTCTCTTAATGAACAAGGAATGGTCATTTGCTGACTGAATGAAACCCGTTTCCAACAAAACAGTTGAGAACTTACTAAACCATTGACGAGAGGCTTGTCGTAGCCCATATGACTTATGCAACTTACAAACAACATTAGGAGGAAAATTCTCCCCCTTTCGGCAAGAATATCCTGACGGAATACTCATATATACTTCCTCAGTGAGGTCACCATGGAGAAATGTGTTTGTAACATCAAGTTGAGTGAGAGTCCATCTAAAAATGGCAACCAAAGAAAGCAAAAGTTTGATTGTAACAAGTTTAGCTACAGGGGAGAAGGTGTCTAGAAAATCTATACCTTCTTGTTGCGTGTAACCTTTAGCTACGAGACGCGCTTTGTATCTTTCCACAGTACCATCTGCTGGAAACTTTATTTTGTATACCCATTTGCAACCAACGGGTTGCTTTCCTGGTGGAAGGGAAACAAGTGACCAAGTACCATTGCCTTCCAAAGCTTGTAATTCAACATTCATTGCATCTCGCCATTCCTGAAATTGAACAACCTGTGAAAAGGTTTGAGGTTCGGTTTGTGTACTAATGGCTAGAGTGAAGATGCGATGAGGTTGTGAGAGTTTATGGTAACTCAAAAAAGAAGAGATGGGATGGGAGGAAGCCGAGGAAGATATGCTGGCCAATTGGTAGTGGTAGTCCTTGAGGTATGTTGGCCGTTTTGTTGTGCGAAGTGGACGAGAAATGGGCTGCAAAGCTTGAGTTTGATCAA